AAAGACATATCTTGCTGGAAGTGATTGCTTATGGGTAAACAGAAGGGCTGAAGGGGATGGTGCAATGATTGTGCCTCTGAGAGTATGTAGTGGGCTAAATAATGACCCCCGAGGATTTTTACATCTTAATTTCTTGATTTCTGAAACCTGTAAATGCTACCTTTTATGCAAAAAGGGCACTGAAGTTCTGATTAAAACAAGAATCTTGGGTTGGTGAGGTTATCTTGCATTATCCCAGTGGCCCTTAATGCAATCACAAATGTCCTTATAAGAAGGAAGCAGAGAAGATTTGATTACAGAAAAAAAAAAAACAAACAGGCAATGTGATGATGAAAGCAGAGATTGGAGCGATATGCTTTGAAGATGGAGGAACAGGTAATAAGCCAAGGAAAACAGGAGGCCACTAGAAGCTGAAAAAGTCAAGGAAACAGATTCTCTCTTCAGAGCCTACAGAAAGAATCAACTCTGCTGATAAGTAAAAACCACTAAATTTCTTATTTATTTATAGTAGCAATAGGAAATTAATACATAGTACTTAAGCCAAAGATTACAGAATTGAATTTCTCATTTACTATGGTGCAGTTCCATAAAATCAATAACAAAGGACTCCAGTGGTTGGGGAATATAGCAAAAAGCCCACTCATCTGCCTCAGTGATGACTTCTAGAAAGGATATCTCCTTTTATCCCAAATATAAGTTCGCTACACACTGTCATGGATTCAAATCCTGTGCTACTTGCTAGCCGTGTAGCCTTAAGTAAGTTACTGAACCATTCTGAGCTTATTATCTCATCTGTAAAAATGAGAGGATTATACATATTTCACAGGGTTTCCGTAAAATAAAGGATATGAAAGGAGGAAAGGCAGACAATCCATATTAGGATCCTAGAAAGTACCAAGTACGAAATACCCAAGAGGAAGGACATGGCTGAGGTAGAAACAAGGAAGATCTTAATGACTGTTATCTTGAAATGAAATCCAGACCCACTAGCTAAGGTAGATGTCAAAGGCTTCATCCAGCTGGTGCCACACACAGAGAAGAGCACCTGGGCAAGGAGGACAATGAGACAATGGCTATAACTGGAAGGAGGAGGGGGAAGGAGTGACCTTGAAGACGGCCATCGAAAGGGTTACATTTTACCAAGAAGATTGAGATGTTTAAGGGGCAAAAATCAAGAAATCTTCTTCTAGAAGTTTCTTTTAAATAAAACTGAAGGATATGGAATGATGTTAGAAATGGACTGTTTCCCTAAGGAGTAAAGAGCAAGGACATTATTTGGACGTATCTGAGAATGGTTGAGACATAGTTCTAGCTCTAATACTAGAAGAGCTAAAGCTAAGAAAATATCCAGAAAGTTATTCCCATGGGGCAGGGAAAGCAAAGAGAGGATGGAAACTCAGGGATGGAAATCTACTCCAACTTTAGCCAGAAGCATTCCCTGACAGTGCTCACCAGCCTGCACTTTCCACACTAGTACAGAAAGTTATTTCTGGATATTTTCTTAGCTTTAGCTCTTCTGGTATTAGAGGACTAGGGGAATTGTGGTATGGATGCTCAGGAGAAAAACAACCCTTGGCTGGGCATGGGTGGCTCATGCCTGTAATCCCAGCACTTTGGGAGGCCAAGGAGGGTGGATCACCTGAGGTCAAGAGTTTGAGATCAGCCTGACCAACATGGCGAAACCCCATCTCTACTAAAAATACAAAAATTAGCTGGGCATGGTGGCAGGCACCTCTAATGCCAGCTACTCAAGAGGCTAAGGCAGGAAAATCACTTGAATCTGGGGGGTGGAGGTTGCAGTGAGCCCAGATCACATCACTTCACTCCAGCCCGAACAAAAGAGCAAAGCTCCATCTCAAAAAAAAGAAAGAAAGAAAGAAAGAAAGAAAGAAAGAAAGAAAGAAAGAAAGAAAGAAAGAAAGAAAGAAAGAAAGAGAAAAAAGAAATTTGCCCAAGCCTTAAACTGGGGAAATTTTTTTCAGCATTGGAATAAGCTGTATCACTACACCTACATATTACATAAAACTCTGGAAACCTTTGAATTCTGAGATTCATATGTCATCCCATTTTATAAGTCATTGTCCTAATGATGAACACTATTTCACTTAGTAAGCATAAGACATTTCTAGGGAACCAGAAATCTGATAGTTTTACTGTATTAGGTCATTTTGCATTGCTATAAAGAAATGCCTGAGGCTAGTTAATTTTATAAAGAAAAGAGGTTTTATTTTGGCTGATGCTTCTGCAGGCTGTAATGAAACATAGCGCCAGCATTTACTTCTGGTGAAGCCGCAGACAGCTTACAATCATGGAAGGAGGCAAAGGGGGGACCAGCACATCACATGGCAAGAGAGGGAGCTGGAGAAATGGAGGGGAGATTCCAGGCTCTTTTAAACACCAGGCCTCACATGAACTCATAGAGTGAGAATGCACTTATCACCAGAAAGTCAACATCAAGCCACTCATGAGGGATCCTCCCCCATGACCCAAATGCTTCCTACCAGGCCCCACCTCTAATCACATTTCAACATGAGATTTGTAGGTGACAAACATCTAAACAATATCATTCTGTCTCTGGCCCCTCAAATTCATGTCCTTCTCACATTGTACAATACAATCATCTATTCCTAACAATTTCCTAAAGTCTTAATTTGTTCCAGCATCTCTCAAAAGTCTAAAGTCCAAAGTCTCATCTGATTCTCAAAGCAATTTCCTTCAACCTATGAGCTTATAAAATCAAACACAAGCTCCTTACTTCCAAGATACAATGGTGGTACAGGCATTGAGTAAACATTCCCATTCCAAAAGGGAAAAATAGCCAAAAGAAAGGAGTAAGAGGCTCATCCAAGTCTGAAATCCAGCAAGGCAGTCCTTAAATCTTAAAATTCCAGAATAATCTCCCTTGGCTCCATGTCCCACATCCTGGGCACACTGGTGTGAGAGGTGGGTTTCCAAGGCCTTGAGAATATCTGCCTCTGTGGTTTTGCAGGGTGCAGCCTCTGTGGTTATACTCACAGATCTCATAGATAGCTCCACTAGGCTGTTCCCCAGTGGAGACTCTTGTGGGGGCTTCAATGCCACATTTTCCCTTGGCACTGTCCTAATAGAGCCTCTCTGTGGGGGCTGTGACCTTAAAACAGGCTTCTTCTTGAGCACCAAGGCTTTTCCATACATCCTCCAAAATTGAGGTGAAAGCTGTCAAGCCTCTTTCACTCTTGCACACCTGCAGGCTTAGCACCATGTGGAAGCTGCCAAAGCTTATGGCTTGTACCCTTCAGAGCAATGACTCAAGTTGTACCTGAGCCCCTTTCAGCAGCACAGGGCAGAAGGACCCAGGGCCTGGCCCCTGAAAATATTCTTTCCTCCTAGGCCTCTGAGCTTGTGATGGGAGGGGCTACTTTGAAGATTTCTAAAATGCCTTCATGGCCTTTTCCCCATTGTCTTGGATATTATTAGCTATTATTATGTAATAATATATTATTGGATAATAGCTCTTAGCTCCCTTTTAGTCACGCAAATATATCTAGCAAGTAGTTCCTCCGCAGGCCACTTGAATTCCTCTGCTGAAAACATTCATTCCTTCTCTACCACATGGTTAGGCTGTGAATTTTTCAAATTTTTATGCTCTACTTTTCTTTTAAATGTAAGTTCCAACTTTAAGTTATTTCTTTCCTCCCATACATAATTGTGCTGCTAGAAGCAGCCATATCACATCTTGAATACTTTACTGTTTACAAATTTATTCTGCCAGATACCCTAGGTCATCTTCTCAAGTTCAATCTTCCACAAATTCCCAGGGCATGGACACAATGCACCCAAGCTCTTTGCAAAGGCATAGCAATGGTGACCTTTGCTCCGGTTCCAAATAGCTTCCTCATTTTCATCTGAGACCTCCTCAGCCTGGCCTTTGCTATCCATATTTCTATCAGCATTTTGGTCACAACCACTTAACAAGTCTCTAAGAAATTCCAACATTCCCCCAACTTCCCGTCTTCTAAGCCCTCCAAACTCTTCCATCCTCTGCCGATTACCCAGTTCCCAAGCTTCTTCAACATTTTCAGGTATCTTTATAGCAACACCCCACTTCTCATTATCAATTTTCTGTTAGTGCATTTTTGCATTGCTATAAAGAAATACTAGAGATTAGGTAATTTGTAAAGAAGAGAAATTTAATTGGCTCACAGTTCTGCAGGCTGTGCAGGAGGCATAGTGCTGGCATCTGCTCCTGGTGAGGGCCTCAGTGAGCTTGCAATCATGGTGGAAGGCAAAAAAGGAGTTGGTGTATAACATGGCAAGAATGGGAGCAAGAGAGACAAGGGAACAAGAGAGATGGGAAGGGAAAGTTCCACACTCTTTTAAGCAACAAGCTCTCACTTGAACTACCAAAGCAAGAACTCACTCATTACAATGAGGATGGCACCAAGCAATTCATGGGGGCTCTCCCCACATGACCCAAACAGCTCCCACCATGCCTTACCTCCAACATTGTGGCTTACATTTTAACATGAGATTTTGAGGGAGCAAACCTTCAAACCATATCAATCACACTCACATACATGCAGACACAGAGAAAAAGGGTGGGTAGAGACTGTAGTCCCAGCTACACTGGAGGTTGAAGCAGGAGGATTGCTTATACCCAGAAGTTTGAGGCTACAATGAGCCACTGCATTCGAGCCTGGGCTGTAACAGAGTAAGACCCTGTCTCTTAAAAAAAAAAAAAAGTGGGGAGAAGACAGACATGGGGCAGGGAAGGCAAAGAGAGGATGGAAACTCAGGGATGGAAATCTACTTCAACTTTAGCCAGAAGCATTCCCTGACAGTGCTCACCAGCCTGCACTTTCCACACTAGTACAGATTTCTGGCTCCTTAAGAGAAGGAGTAGGGAAAGGACAGTTCTGTCTCGTGCCTTTATCAGGGACTCCTCCCTCCTTTCTATTTACTGGCTGTGATCAAATATCTAAGCTTTATAAAGCAAGCTAGTGGTTGTCCTTTCCAATGCCTCACTCAGCACACCTTCTGTCACCGGAACAAGCATCCAATGAGGAAAATGAACACACTGCTCCTTGTGAGCTTATTTCTCCTCTACCTCCAAGAGGGTAAGTTTGAATAATGTGGGTGGAGGGATGCAACTTAGGGGCACTGCTCTCTAAATCTCTACTCTCCAAGTGTCACTCACATGCTGCAGCTCAGACCTGAAGACTCAGTACAATCTGAGTTTCAGGATGTCAGAGAGATCACATACAACACACTAATCCAGAAGAAAATGTACTGATTGCAGGGCAACAGGACAGCAATTTTCAGACTTCAAATTAATTGACTTTCATCCATACTTATCTCATTTTGGTCCCCTGCTCTCTTGATACACTTTTCTCCTTTATTCTCTCCTACAATCTAGTTTTTGTTTCCTCTGGTTACTTCTGTGTATTTTGTAGGATTTTCTATTCTACCTGATCTTTAAACACTGAGATACCTCAAGGCTTTATACTGCCCACTCAGACACTCCTTTATATTAACTTATTAACTTCTATGGCTTCAATTACAATCTATCTGCTGAAAATGCCCAATTTTATATCCTAGCCAGATTTCTATTCTGAGCTTCAGTCTTTCATCAACAAACATCTCCTACACTTAGAAGTCATCCTTGAAATCTCCCTCTCCCTTAACACTCACTAAAAAATAATGAATAATTACTATGCTTTCTACCTATTAAATGTACTTCAAATATGATTATATTTCTACCTTATATTTCTATTTTGCTACCTTTTGACACTTAGTATGAAATAATAAACCATAAAAGAATTATAAGAAAATGTGACATAATTTGTTTATAAGCTTAGAAATAAGAAAGGCCTAACTATGACTCAAAATCCAGAGTTCTTAAAAGAAAAACTGACAAATTTGACTCATGAAAATCAAAATATTCTTCATGACAAAAATGAAAAATGCAACTTACATCACAGACATGTAATGCTTCCTTTTAAAAAAATCAAAAAGGAAAAGGCCAACAACCTAAAAGAAAAATGGGCAAAGTATGTAGACAGTTCACATAAAAATGGCTATTAAACATATAAAAAGTGCTCAATCTCACTCATATTATGAAAAATGTAAATTAAAAGAACACTAAAATATCATTTTTCACCTATCAGATTGGCAACATCCAGAAGTTTGATAAAATATTCAAGTATTGAAGTTGTAGTGAGACAAGAATTTTCCAAGCATTGATAGCAAGAGAATAAATAGTTACATCTCCTCTGGAGGGCAATTTGGCAATATCTATTAAAATCACAAAAGAGTTTACTTTTTATCTAGCAATTCTGCTTATATGAAATTATCTTACAGATATACTCCCACACAAATGAAATATGTTCGGCATTATATATTGCAGCAAATAATATCAAAAAGTGCAGATAGCTTAAATTCTCATAAGTAAGGGACGGGTTAATTCAAGCACAGTATAGCTCTACAGGAGAATACTATACAATTAGTATACATCATTCAAAAAATCAAAGTGCAGAGTATGTATAGTATACTACCGATTATGAAAAGGAGGTAAAAAGATACATGTACATATTTATATTTGCTTGAATATAGTGAAAATCAATCTGAAAGATATAAAAGAAATGAATAAAACTGGTTTCCATTATTTGTCAGATGAAAACTGGATAACTAGCTGGCAAGAGTGGGAGGTCAACTTTGCACAGCATTCTTTTTATATTACTTACTATTTAGTCACATCAAAGTATTACCTATTTTTAAATAATGCTTTTTTTAAATGTTGAAGTTGAAAATACTCAGAGGTTAAAGATCAAAGAAACTATTATCTGAAGAGCATTATCAGTGCACTGTGCAGCTTGCTCCCAACTCCCGTGAGAGAGAGAACCCTCATGAGAGTTCCTTCAGGGAGAAATTGATAGTGTCCTCTGGTGTTTGGAAGGCACAGTGAACTTGAGGAACCTAAAGGTGAGAGGGAGCCTGTGGCTACAGCCCTGAAATGGTGGAACTGAGAAACAGCTGAGCTGCATTACATACAAGCAGGGAGGATGTGCATACACTCCTGTGGATCTGATCTGGGCCATGCTGTATCAAGCAAGTCAGGCTTGAGCTGTTTAAAGTTCTAGCCAGGAGGGCTGTCTGGAGGAACAAAGTATTTTAGCAAGAAGTGGGCCACTAGCTTCTTACAGCTGAGAGAAAATATAACCACCACCTGGGGGAAATATCCAGCCCATGCTACAGCAGCGGATTTGAATATTTTTGTGGGGGAAAGCCTGGAGAACCCACAAATGTTCCCCTGATTCTAGAAACTCAAGAAAATGAATTCTCCTGACTCAAGAAAATGAGTCAGCTTTTATTAAACACAAAGTCCAAGAGATTGGGTTTTAAGTAACTGCCATGGACAACAGATGATGGCATTAGAGCCAGTCCGATGAAATCTTTCCTGTCCTTTACCTGTCCCTCTCCCACTCACCAAATGAAATGGGTCAGAAACTATCACTCATAAGCCAGAGGTGAGTAGGAGGAAACCAAGACAGAGAAATAGAGAGAAAGTCAAAGCCACCCCCTCCTGCCCATTACAAACACCTAAGCAAGTCTGAGCTATGCATAGGTATGTGCGTGTGTGTGGATGTGCATGGGCATTCATAAAGGGAGAGCAGGTTGTTGGTAAGAAACATGGGCTTTTAATGAAATAGAGCTATTTTATTATCATTGCATGGGACTCAATGCATAAATTACTGAACCCAGATTATTCTTATGCCCAAAAGTGGCGGCAAGATTTCCTTTTCCTAAAAGTACATAGACAAGTTAGGAGCCTTGTCTGAAATTACCTGCAGGATTAGAAGAACTCGCTTTAGAAAAAGAACTCAAATGGGTAGTAGTGGGCAGAAGAATAAAACTGTTTTCTGTTTGCACATTTTAAGTCCCATGTTGACCTGACAGATAAATGTAAATGGGATTAGATCGCTTCCTTGCTTAAAATTTTTCAATAAATTCTCATTGCTCATGGATCAAAAACCATACTCATGTCTTTGGCCTAGGAGGGCTCAGGAAGTTGAATCTCTGCTTTCCTGCCCAGCCGTGTCTCATAGCACAACCCACTTCATTCTCTGTGACCCAGTTACACTAGCATTTTTGTTCCTCAATACACAAGCTTTTTTCACTGCTGTTCCCTCTGCCTGAAATGTTCTTCACTCTGCCCATACCACATCACCCACTTACCTGGCTGACTCTTATTTATCATCAGGCCTCACCTTACATCCCATTCCCATGGAAGCCTTGCTTGGCTCTCTAAAATACATTAGTTCTTCCCTCTTAAATGTTCTCATTACATGTTTAACTATTTCTTGATATTACAATACAACTATACCTAATTTCGGGGGGGTTGTTTAATGCCTATCTCCCCAGCATGTTGTAAACACTTGTTTATTTTTGCATTCTCAGCACCTAAAACAATGTCCAGAATGTGGAACATGCTCAAAACCCAGCAACTAATGTCATCCTTTCCCTCTAAATAAGAGGAAAAGAGGAGGGAGCCAGCTCAAGTCTTCAGCAAAAGTATTCTCCTACTTTTCCAGCACACAGTAATCTTCCTATTGCTATACTCTTAATCTGCATCACAGGATTCATCTGGTCGACTATACATTATCTTTGCTGTTGTTATTATTTCACATGTTAACTTGTCTTCAAATATAGATGGACCCTATTCAGGTCACAGAGACTGTGTGTTATCTTTTTTATCTACCTCCTGGCTTAACTTACAAAGCTACATTAATCAAGAATTCTACAAATAACAACTAATGGAGTGAGTGGACAGTATAGTCAACATGCAACCTCTTACTAATGCTGAAAACTCATTTTCCCATAATCCCGGTATTCCGCCTGAATATTCTATTCTCTCCACCCTGCAGTTACGGGTCTGAGGTGTAATACCTGCATGTACACAGAAGGATGGAAGTGTATGGCAGGCCAAGGCACTTGCATTGCAAAAGAAAATGAGTTATGTTCAACAACAGCCTATTTCAGGGGTAAGTGGGGCTCATGAAGACTCCAAAAATGCCTGCAAAGAACCACCGCTCTTGCTAGTGCCTGGGATAAAGGACTCAATATCTTTAAGCCCTGCTAGAAGGTAAAGCAAGGAATAAAAGAGGAGGCAAGAAGGGATAATTTCCAACTTTTGCACTGTGGGGTTTGACATCCAGAGCCAGATAGGGCGGTGATTGGGAAATGAACCCAGGCGCCAGGGAAAGAGACTCAGTGCTAAGTGCTGTTCCTCTTGGTGCTGAGTTTTAGTAAGTCACTATTAAGACAATCTCCTCCAGCACTTATAACAGGCTTCTTTATTTTGTAGGAGAAAAACATATGTATTCAACACATATGTGTAAGCATAAGTGCCGGGAAGAGGAGTCCTACAAAAAAGACCTATTGAGAGTGACACTGTGCTGTGACAAAAACTTCTGTAACGTCTTCTAATGGAGCTTATGAACTTGCAGAGGATCATCTGTTCAAGATTCAGAATCAAGACCAACCAACATGAACTGTTTTATTTCCTACACCAAATTCCATATTAGCCTAAGATCCCAGAGAGAGCTGCAGGGGTCGTGTCCTCATTGCAATGAAGGGGCTCCCCACACCAACCTCCACCATTAGATCCCTACAATCATGAGCATTGAAACAAAATCCTCCATGAGCTGTGCTTACTTTTTTGTCTTTTACTCCTGATTTCTGATTTATATCCCTATGGTAGGGTAAATAATGGACCCCCAAATATTTTTACATCCTAATCTCTGGAACCTGTGAAAGTTACCTTAAATGGCAAAAGGGACTTTGAAAATATGATTAAGGATCTTGAGAAGGGGAGGTTACCTTGCATTATCTGGGTGGTCTGAAGTGCTATCAAAATCTCCTTATAAGACGCAAGTAAAGGGAGATCTGACACAGAAGAAGAAAAGTTGTGACGATGGAAGCAGAGATTGGAGTGATGTGCTTTGCAGATGGAGGAATAGGCCATAAGCAAAAAACTACAGGAGGCCACTAGAAGCTGAAAAAGTCAAAGAAATAGATTCTCCCCTCAGAGCCTCCAGAAACCGGCCCTGATGCCACCTTGATTTAAGCCCTGTAAGACTCATTTTGGCCTCTAGAACTTTTAGGGGGTGTTATTTTCAGCTACTAAGTGTGTATTGTTTTAAGCCACTAAGTTTGCAATAATTTATTATAGCTGCAATGGGAAACAAATACAATCCAAAGAAACTAGGAATTCAAACCATTGGTAAGCCTGAGTACCCAGGGGTCAGTCTAGGTAACAACAGTATCCACCGCTCAGGGCTTATGGTGACCTGCAGAAAGACGGGAATGCAGAGCAAGTGCTGTGAATGAATGCGGAGATCAATTTATGGATTTTAAACTTCATGACATGCTTCAGATAACCCTTTAGGCGTATCTGTGATGTAAATGGTGCCCCACTATGTTCTGAAGCAAACAAACATGATGTCCTAATAACTCAATTTATCAGTTCCTCATTAGCTCGTGTACTCACTGAAATTCTTTTAGCAGTTAATGTCCCTGTATTAGTTTGTTTTCACACCACTGATAACCGGGCAATTTACAAAAGAAAGAGGTTTATTGGACTTACAGTTCCATGTGGCTGGGGAAGCCTTACAATCATGGCGGAAGGTGAAAGGCATATGTCACATGGTGGCAGACAAGAGAAGACAGCTTGTGCAGGAACATTCCCCCTAATAGTAGCCATCAGATCTTGTGAGACTTACTCACTATCATGAGAAAAGCACAGGAAAAACCTGCCCCTATGATTCAATTACCTCCCACTGGTTCTTCCCACAACACGTGGGAATTCAAGATGAAATTTGGGTGGGAACACAGCCAAATCATATCAGTCCCCTTCTTAAAACTCTCCTCTCTTAGCTCATATGATTGTACATTTGTAGTTCTCCTACCTCTCTGAAGAATCCTGAGTGAGGGTTTCTGGGGACAGTGTTTTGATTTGTTATGTTTGTTTGTTTTGCCGTTTTTTGAGATAGAGTCTCACGCTGTCACCCAGGCTGGAGTGCAGTGGCACCATCTCATCTCACTGCAGCCTCTGCCTTCCAGGTTCAAGCTATTCCCTTGCCTCATCTTCCCATGTAGCTGGGACTACAGACATGCACTACAACGCTCAGCTGCCTTTTGTATTTTTAGTAGAGGCAGGGTTTCACCATGTTGGCCAGGCTGGTCTCGATCTCTTGACCTTGTGATCCACCTGCCTCAGCCTCCCAAAGTGCTGGGATTACAGGGGTGAGCCACCATACCCAGTCCTGTTATTGTGTTTATATTCAGATATTTAACCTATGTGAAGCCACCTTTGTAATATTGCTTTAAGTAAAAGGCAATATTGTTTTTCTCCATAGAGTGACTCAGATTTTTTAGCACCATTGACTACAAAGTCTATCCTTTCTCCATTCATTTGTGATGCAATTTTTATCATTAGTTATAAAGGGGAAAAAATCAATGTTTACTATACTGTCTCACACACACTTCTGACATGAAATGTGTGGGGTTTTCCACCCCAAGAAATTATCCCATTCCCCAGTGCACACTGACCGAGTGCTTTAAAATTTAACTCAGTTCTGACACCAATTGCCTGGAGTTAGTGCAGGCTCCACAGATAAAGGGCTCAGTCTCCCAAGACTGCCCCTCAACTGCAGAGGCCAATCACAAATTGTGGGTCCTCAGGTCATGCACAACTTTTGTCCAAACCGGAAATTCCCACATTCCCCTCCTCAGGTTCAATAATTTGCTAGAACAGCTCACAAACCTGCAGAGATAATTTACTTATGATGATGGATTTATTGCAAAGGATACAGATGCACAGCCAGATGAAGGGGTAGATAGGGCAAGGTATGGAAGGCTCCTGAGCACAGGAGCTTCTGTCCTTGTGGAGTCTGGAGTGCACCACCCTTCCAGCACATAGATATGTTCTTGTTCACCAATGCAGTAGCTCTAAACACCCTTTTAATTAAGGATATTTAATGGAGGTTTCATTGCATAGATATGATTGATTATTAATAAATGATTGGTCACCAGTGGTTAATTCAGCCTCCAGTCCTCCCCTCTCCAGAGGCTGAGAGGCAGGACTGAAAGTTCTAACTCTCTAATCACATGGTTGATTCCCTTGGTAACCAGCCCTTATTCTGTGGTTATCTAAAGGCTTTCCAAAAATCACTTTGCTAATATAAACTCAGGTATGGTTGAAGGATTTGTTATAAGACATGTAAATGCTTCATGAACCAAGGACAAAAGACCAAATATTATATCAAAAGATGTTCCTATTGCTCTTATCACTTAAGAAATTACAAGGGTTTTAGGAACTCTGTTCTAGGACCAGTGGACAAAAAGACCAAAATAAACAGTTGACTCTTGAACAACATGCAGGTAAAAAGTGCTAACCCCTGCACGTCAAAAATCCACATATAACTTTTAGCTACCCAAAAACTTTACTAAAAGCCTACTGTTGACTGGAAGCCTTATCAATAACATAAACAGTCAACACTTATTTTGTACATTATAAGTATTATATACTATATTTTTATAATAAAGTAATCTAGAGAAAAGAAAATATTAAGAAAACCGTAAGAAACAAAGTTCACTTACTATTCATTAAATGGAAGTCATCTTCATAGAGGTCTTCATCCTCATTGTCTTTACATTGAATAGGCCAAGGAGGACGCACAAGAGGAGGGGTTGCTCTTGCCATCTCAGGGGTGGCAGAGGCAGAAGAATCCACATATAAGAAGACTCACAGAGTTCAACCCTGTGTTGTTCCAGTATCGATTTTGTATTTCTTATTGTATCACAGTATCATATGCACATAAATATGTTTGTGTGTGGCTATGTGTGTGCGTGTATATAAAACTTTGCATTCTATTCCATTGTCTATTCATGCTATGGTCTGAATGTTTGTGTCCCACCAAAATTTACATGCAGAAACCTAATCCTCAATGCAATAGCATTAAGACGTAGGGCCCTTCAGGAGTGATTATGTCATAAGGATTGGGTCCTAACGAGTAGGATTGCTGCTCTTTTGAAGGAAGCCAGAGGGAGCTTGTTTGCTGCAGCCACCATGTGAGGACGCAGCAAGAAGGCATCATCTGGAAAGCAGAGGGTGAGCCCTCACCAGACATGTGATCTGTCTGGACCTTAATCTTAGATTTCCCAGCCCTTAGAATTATGAGCAATAAATTTGTATTGTTGATAAATTACCCATTATATGGTATTTTTGTGACAGCATCCCAAACACAGTAAGAAAATTTGTTTCAAGTGAACGCTGTGCTACTTTATTTTTACTGTAGTCTTGTAGAATGTCTTTAAATTTGGTAGGGAAAGTTCCCCCATTGTGCCATTTCTTTGTCTGTTGGCTCTCAGTTCCATTTCTGCCCATTATTGCTCTTCTGTGAATTGCAGGAAATTCGAAACGAGCCTGTGGCTCTACCTATGACAGCAGCAAACAACTGCAGGAGACTGCCAGCTAACACAATAGCACCATATTCATGGCAGCTGTGGCAGCAAATCTAACAGCATCAGCAACTCCTGCTTCTGAAAAATATAGGCTCCTGGCTTCCTGAAAAGTGGCGATGACAGTAGTACACAGAGAGTTTCAGGAGCAGACTCTCCCTTGCTTCGGTTACCCCTTACTTTTGGACTGTAGATAATAGCAAGTTCCCTTTGCTCCTGCAACCCTAGGGATGGTAACAGCTTCTCACAGGTACTGATCTCTGGGGAATAGTATTGTTCCCTTTTGGGCTCCTTCAGCCCTCTCAACATTTTGTAACCATTTTCATGTATTTAATTCCCCTTGCTTGGAAAGCTAGAAATGTGAATGTTTCTTTTTTTTATTTCCATAGCTCTTGGGGTCCAAGTGGTTTTCGGTTACATGGATGAATTGCAAATTGGTCAAGTCTGAGATTTTAGCATAACTGTCACCTGAGTAGCGTACACGGCAACCAATATATAGTTTGTTGTTGTTTTCATAGCAGCTGCTCGAGTCAGCAGCCGCTTGGGCAGGCACTGAGGTGCGGGAGTTTTGCATACTTTAGCTCCAGGAAATCCAGTGAGGCAGGGGATCTGTCCACTCCCGTAGGAAAAGGACTGAAGCCAGAGAGCCAAGCAGCCTCACTCATCAGGCCCCACTCTCACAGAACCCCACAAGCTAACATCCACTGGCTTGGAATCCCTGCCAGCCAGGACAGCAGGCTGGAGACTGCCTAAGACTATTCTATTGCATTCGCGATTGGAAGGGGTGACCATCACTGCAGTTCCAGTCAACCATTTTCCCTGCCAGCGAGACTGGGCAGTTTTGACTGGGCAGAATTCCCCACAGCACAGCACAGTGTCCATGACGGATCATTGCCAGGCTGCTTCTTTAAGTGGGACTCTGATCCCTCCTCATCAGGCAAGGGCCTCCCTATGGTAATTTCAGCATCTCCAGACAGGGGGTTCTGGACAGAATTCTGATATCCCTGAGTTAAGCCCGTAGTGGGAGAGGCACTGTGGTCACCACTGACCAGCAGTCTTAGTCTTTTCTACCTGCTGGCTCTGAAGAGTTAGGGCAGCCCAGATGAGGGAGTTTTCCCCCAATGCAGCACACTTGTTTAGCCAAGTGGCAGCCAGCCTGCTGATTTAAGCAGATCCCTAATCCCGTTCTTCCAGACTGTGCGAGACCTCCCAACAGGGGTGTCCAGATACCTAATACAGCAGCACTCC